GGCTCGGGCTCGGGGTCGGCGTCGGTGGGGGCGGGCCGGAGCTCAGGCCGGATCTGCTGGCGGCGTTGGAGGATTTCTCGGCGTGGACGTGGCGCGGCCTGGAGGCGGGTGAGACGAATACCAAGGGGTATCTGGTTACCCATACTGTTGTTGCGCAGGTGGAGGCGATGCGGAGGGGGCTGGGTAAGGAGGATCTGGCGAGGTATGTTATGCAGGCGGTGGAGGAGGGGGTGGAGAGGTGTCTGGGGCTGCTGGAGGGGATCGTGGCTGCGGGGGAGGGCGACACGCCCGGGAGTGTGGGGATGGAGACAGGGGGGCCGGCCGTGGAGGTGGGGGTTGAGGATTGGCCCTATATGGTGAGGATCGCTGGTTGTCTTGCTTCGTGGCGTTGATGCTGACGTGTGCTAGATGCCGGACTCGCTGTTTGATACGGCTGGGGGGGAGTTTTCCAATTGGTTCAGTGATGGGGCTCTTTTATAGGGACGGACACGGCCAGCCTTTCCAATGACGGTTAATGCGAATCTCGCGACTCTGCCGACACGCAATCAGGGGCCCGGCCCTCAACCATCCCATTCTGTGACGGTATATTTCTTACCAACGGCGGTCTCGCCAGATATCTCTAGTCTATAGCCCCTCACCCCGATATCAGACTCATAAAATACCCCCAATACTGACACAGCGAGCCGATATTCCAATCACGCAACACAGCCCCCAGTTCGTCCACATTCAAAACCTGCGGCAAGTAGCGCCCCTCCCACTCGTCGAGGGGCCCCCCTCTGGCGCACTCCCACCGCGCCTTGCACAGCTCCCAGTACGCCGGATACCATCCCGCCTGCTCCCAGCCGATAATCGAAACCACGCGCGGATTCGGCCCCGTCGAGACGATGATGTTGCGCGGGTGCAGGGCGCCATGCGTAAACACGATGGGGACGTCGGCGGGAAACAAATGCTGAGGGTTCCAGCGGACCTGACTGCTCGGCCCCGCCTGCCGATTCTGCGACACCGCCGCCGCCGTCGAGACAAAGTAGTTATGGAAAGCCGCCACCGACCAGAACGGGCCCGGCCGTCCACCGCCAGCCGCCATCCCCGCCGTCAACACCAGATCCGGCAACGGCCCGTTATCCACGCTCCCTACAACAACCAACCAGTCAGCCCACCCCCCTTTTGAAAATCAAACCAAGCAAACACACCACCAAACCAGCCCAGAAAAAGAAAAATGCCAAAAAGAACTCACCCACAAACCCCTCCCCCCCCAACCGCAACCGCCGCCACCCGCCCACCACCGCCCGCAGCGCCTCACAGACCCGGACCCTCTCCCCCTCCCCCATCGCCCCCCACCGCCCCTCCAACACCTCCCCCTCCGGCAGCGCCATGTACACGAACCCCTCGCCGCCGTCCCGCCGCCACCCAAACACCTCGGGCACCACCGCGCCCATGCCCGCACCACCAGATCCATCCACATCCACATCCACATCCGCATCCGCATCCAGATACCGCCGCAGCAGCAGCATGCCCTTGCCCTCGGCCGCGGCGCGCACGCCGGCGCCGTACTTGACGAGCAGGCCCAGGGCGGGGAAGGGGACGTGGGTGATGGTGGTGGTGTCTTCGGCGGGGTGGAGCACGGCGGCGGCGTGCTGGCGGACCTCGGCGGGGGTGGGGAGGTCGGCGGCGGCGGCGGCGCGGCGGGCGAAGAAGGAGGAGTGGGCGAAGATGACGTTGTCGCCGGGGGGGAAGATGCTGATGGTCACGGGGATGGGGGTGGTGCTGGGAAACGGGGGGTGGGGGATGGTATGGATGGGGGAGGGGGGGGTGGCCGGAGGGGGGTTGGTGAGGGTCAGGTTGGTGAAGGAGTGGTAGAGCGACTGGAAGGGGTCGTCGGGTTGGGGGTGGTGGGCGGCGGAGGAGGCCAGCATCTTGAGATCTGGCTGGTGGTGAGGACCGTAAAGGCTGTGAGGCAGGTCCTGGTATTTGTCAATTCGAGTGCTATGGTCGTAATGGGCAAGTTATCGAGCGGATGGTGTAAGAAGGTATGAATGATGTTGGAAGGGCTGGTCCAAAAAGGTACGATGTTGGAAGAAAGCCTGGATTTCCATGTGATTTCCAGGTGTGGTGTGATCTGGCTCTGGTTGGGCATCTGTGTCGCTAGGGTGGTGCCCAACTGAGTGACATTACCCCAATTCATGCACCCTAACCCTCGATGGTGCGTAGTACAACTTGGTCTAAACAATCAACCATTGGTTCTTGTAGATTACCTAGGTACGGCAAGAATTATGGCACTTACACGATACAGAGGCAGTGCTATAGTGCTATAATTATTCATGGGCAAGGGGCCAAGGTGTCTCTAGCAGAGCGTCGTTGACTAGTAGAGCCCGGGATGCACATGGCCAGAGTCTGACGGAGAGTTGGAGGAGTTAAGGTCTAGGACACAGTTGGTTTTTGTTTATCTTTCGTTGCTTGCTCTCGTCGGCGGCGTTAGTAGGGGTGTCTGCTCGCAGCTTTGCCACTTGCTTGCAGTGTACGAACCAGTGACTCCAATGCAATGAGACATCCGCGGGTAAAAGTAGTATCGTAAAAATGGGCCAGTACATTACGTGTCGTGGGGGAATTGGTCCAAGGCTGAGGCGCCGGTTCCAGGGGGTCTTAGTTATTGGAAGGTTGGTTCCTACATAGTCGATCGCCCTCGCCCGCAGTGCTGTCAAGCCAACCGCCTCGGCGGAAAGGCAATGGTTGGCGGGCGCCGGGGAGGAACAACATGCAATATCCGTATGCAGACGGCCGCGGCAGCTGCAGCCTGCATGGTGGGCGCAGCGGGCGGATGGACCAACCGGAGGCTGTCGAGGGGCTCGCGTCAAACGGAGGGGAACGGGTGAGTGGGGGAGGCTCGGGAGGGCAAAAGTCCAGGACAACGGCGGGCATATGCATCCTTGCCTTCTCTCTCGCGACTGTTGTCTTCGTCGCCAATGAGCGCCCATGCACCTGTTTGCGGCTTCGCCTTTCCTTGCAGAACCACGGCGTCGCACTGGAAAACCGCGTCGCGCTGCCTCCTGCGGTCATCATGTCAGCCGACGGCGGGTTGCCCATGCAGGACCTCGCGCGTGCGCTACAGGCGCAGCACAACGAGGTTGAGGGGCTCAGGAATGGAAGACGCGCAGGGTTTCGCGGCCGGGTGGCCGACGATCTCGACTTTGCCATTCAAGTGTACGAGGCGGAGCTGGCGGAGCTGGCACTGATCGCCTCGGACCGGTCCATCTGCGAGAGCATCTTGCTCCAAGAGGAGCAGGCGGCCGTGGGCCGGGAGCGAGCCGGCCGCCGGGGGCTTGCCGGGATTGCCTTCGCCGTGCCAGCCACCGACCCGGTCATCGATGAGCTTGTGGTCAGGTTCCGGGCCCTCCGCGTGTCGGCCGCGCCATCCCCGGCCGAGTCGTCCACACAGGCCGCTGACAGGCCGACGCCGGCGCTGCCGTCGCCCCCGCCCCCGCCCCCTCTCCCGCTCCCGCTCCCGCCCCCGCCCCCGCCGCCACCACCACCAATACCGGAGTCGGAGTGCGTCGCCTGCGGCGACAAGCGCCCCCGCCAGGACGTGTGTCGCTGCCCCTGCGCGCACGAGTACTGCCGCGCGTGCCTAGAAAGCCTCTTCCGGGCGTCCCTGTCGGACGAGTCGCTGTTCCCGCCGCGCTGCTGCAACCAGCGCATCCCGCTCGACACCTGCGGGGGGTACCTCCCGGCGGAGCTGGTGGGCCGGTTCCTGGCCAAGAAGAACGAGATGGACACGCCGAACCGGACATACTGCCACCGGCCGGCGTGCTCGGCCTTCATCCCGCCGCCGTTCGTGGACGGCGACGTGGCGACCTGCATCCGGTGCCGCTGGACGACGTGCGTGGTGTGCAAGGGCGCGGCGCACACGGGCGACTGCCCGCACGACGCCGCGGCCCAGGAGCTCCTGCAGGTCGCGGCCGCCAACGGCTGGCAGCGCTGCCACGCGTGCCGCCGCGTCGTGGAGCTCGAGCACGGCTGCAACCACATGAGTGAGTTGTCCTTGTCGTGGTCCCGCTCGGGGCCGCAGCCGATGAGATCCGTGCTAACAACGCGGCGGCAGCCTGTCTCTGCGGCGCCCAGTTCTGCTACGTGTGCGGCGTGCGCTGGAAGAACTGCCCGTGCGACCAGTGGAACGAGACGCGCCTGCTCGCGCGTGCGAATGTCATCGTGGACCGCGACGCCGCCGGCCAGAGGTTTGCCGCCGGCCCGAGGTTTGCCGCCGGCCAGGTGTTTGCCGCGGTCGCGCGGGCGGCCATGCTGGAGCGGGAGCAGCAGAACCTGATGCAGAACCACGAGTGCTACCACGATGCGTGGAGGTCGCGCCGGGGCCGCCATCGCTGCGAGGAGTGCTACGACACCCTCCCCTACTTCATTTATGAATGCGTCCAGTGTCGGATCATGGCGTGTCGGCGTTGTAGGTACAACCGTCTCTGAGGCGGGCTTTGCCCTGCGGCATGCTCGGGTCGCGTCGGTGGAAGCGTGCCTCTACCTCAGCGCCCGGCCCCAGTCCAGTGGGGATGGGTGCAGTGGGCCGTGGCTGCTTATGTCGATGAGGGTCGTACGTCGTAGACGACTGAGTCGCGACTTTGGCAATGTCGCCTATGAGGAACGGCTTGAGGTACAATCCGAAACTGGTGTGGCAATCAAAAGGCGTTTGTTGGGCCGCGGTGTTGGTAGATAGCCCGTGCGAATGTTGGAGTTGCAAGAGAGGAAAAGAAACTGCGATCGACAAGCCGCGGGGTGGACTCGACCACTCAGCTCAGTCGCCAAGACTAAGCAAAGCTGCCAGTGCAAACAGTAGCCGCTGAAGCCGGAGATTCCATCGCCAATCGCTTTTCATGCACCAACATATCATAGTAGAAATGGCCAGTCTGTGGAGTTATAGACAGCAATTGAGTCGAGCAGTTTTCGTTATTGCCGTCCCTATCTGACAAGGTGTAATGCCTGCAGTGACATCAACCCTTGGGTGTATGGTCTAGTGGTATGATTTCTGTTTTGCAAAGCCTCAGTTGCATATGCTTATACAGACGGTCCCGCGTTCGATCCGCGGTACATCCAAATCCGTTTTGTTTTTGCATCATGCCACTTTCACCGAGCACTTGTTCACCTGCTGGGCGCTGAACGATGAAGCGTCTCCAATGTGTTTGGGGAAAGTATTGGGTGGTCCGTCCCTGACCGTTGAGTATTTAGACAATATCCAGCATTGTCGACTGAAAATGCAGCCGTCACATCATCCTCTACGTGAGCCTTCCAACACTGCCGCCCGTACCCGGCAACACACGCACAACCAAATCCCGCACTGGCCCTGCACTCCCCAAAATACCATCCCAGTGAGGCCGGAAAACATGCTCCCCCCGCGCCGTCTCCAGCCACAGGATGCCCCTGATGTGGCCAAGCACGTCGTGCCAGTCCCGCAGCTGCAGACACACGGTCACCGCACCCGACCGCGCGACAAACCGTGGGTAGTGGGCCGTGCCGGCCGACGCGACCAGGCCGATCGCAAGGAACCACAGGTCGAGGGAGCCGCAGGGCCGGGGTGTGGCGTCGAGCTGGGTGAGGTGGGCCGTGAAGCGCGCGAGGACGGTGTTGAACAGGATGGCGTGCGAGTAGTAGGTCGGGCCCTGCACGATGAGCATGTAGAGCACGATGGCGTAGCGGACGCATTCGGTCGTGGGTGGTGGTGGTGCTGGGGTCGGGTTTGGCGCGGAGAGCAGGAGCCGGTGGACGACGAAGCACGTCAGGTCGTGGAGCCGCGTGGCGGGGAAGGGGCCGCGCTGCTGCGCGCGTGCAAACACATGCCGGAGACGGAGGAAGACGTTTCGGACTTCCTGGTCGTCTGCGCCGGCGAGCTCCGACCATTCATGGCGCGCGGACGGGTCCAGCTGCCATTCGGGGATCGGGGGGATGCCATGGCCGATGCCGTCGTCGTCTTGGGTCTCGAACTGGGGGTGGCCCATGACCAGCATCGACACCCTGGACGTTATGTGTGAGCAGCGGGGAACCCCCGGGGGATGGGGGTGGCTTACCAGCTGACCATTCTCGCCGTCAGCGGGCTGGTCTGGCGCACTGCGTTAATGCCGCCGCGCATGTGGACCAGCTTCTTCACGCCGTCGACATGCATCTTGCTGGTGCTGGTATTGCCCTTGCCATACTGGGCAGTTGTTAGCGATGGCCTTGCGGATGGCTGGGAAAGGCAAGTCTCACTTCGATGGTGGCCAGAGTGATGACCGCGTTCATGGTGCCGTCCTGCAGCGCCAGCGACGTGTCTTCAAGCTTGCGGCGGAGCAGCGCCACCGAGTCGGCCATGAGGACTTCGGAGCTGTGGAAGCCCCGCTGGGCTAGGCGCTCGGCGTCCAGACATGCCGTCTGCAGCGAGACGTGGAACAGGACAGGGTCGCCGAGCGCAAGCGGCCACCACGAGACGAGAAAGGGGTTGGAGGTCGGGCTCAGGTCGAGGGGGTAGTACTGGAACGCGATCTTGTTGAGAACTGATCAGGTAAGCCGGGCGCGATGTGTGATTTGTGATTTGCGATCCATGTGAATCGGACGCACGTACAGCTGTGGATCAGACGTTGCACTTGTTGCCGCGGCAGTCTCGTGTGCGGGTACGAGTTGAAGGGATCGAGCGACCCGAACCTGTAGTGGGTCAGGGTGCCGGAAGGCGCGGGAGGGGCCGCGGTCAGCGGCTGGTTCGCGTAGAGGCATTGCGCCTTGCGCTTGATACAGCGGGAGCAGCGCGGCGTGCCGAGGTCGCAGCTGTGTTTGGATTTGGCGCAGGCAGCGCAGGACCGGCGGAGCGTTTGGCGCATGTTGCGACGTGTGATTTTTGGGAAGCTGGGAACGGCGTGGTTTGAGACTCGAGAAAGTCGAGAATCGAGATGGTAGGTATTGTTGCAGCGGGCCCCCACTGTGGCTTGCAGGGAACAAGGATACGGGCGATCAATTGAAGGCCGACAGCAGGTTGTCTAGGTACCTAGAGCTTGTCGTTCGACTGGCTGTTTTGGAACCCGCGAGCTGCGACTGGTAGGGGCGACTGGCGCAGGGTTGGAAATAACGCAGGCTGTGCTCAAATTTCCATTCCGTTGCCTTGCGCAAACGTGCCAGCGCTCACATCTGTCACCAGCTCGGAGATCGAGCTCTAACTCGAAAGGGACTAGACTCCGCCGTGCGTATCTCCGGCCGTCTTGGCATTGCGAGCCCGGCGTCTAGGCCCAATTCAGCGACAGGTAGCGGAGACACCTCGGAGCCCGCCCGGGACGGGGCCGGAAGACGGACTCGGACTTCTTGTCGGTCGGCCATGAACTTTCTGGTTTTTGTCGACGAAAGGCTGAGAGCTCTGACTGGGCTGCCGAGGCACCACCCGGCTTGTCGGACGCAGCGCTGATGCTGGGCGGTATGGGTTCAAGGCTACCAAGTCAAGACGACGCATAAACGCCAAGATGTGTTAGTGTTGGGAACGTCATGGCTAACTTGGATACCCAATGTCGATGCGTTTCAAACTTTCGAGGGCTCATATATGCGGGCCCTGCCAGGTTAGAGATGACAAGGGACGGTTGTAGTGGACCACGGTGTCATGGTGATTCAATGTCTGGCATAGAGCGTGGGTAGCACAAAGTATCCATGAAGCTGATCCGCATTTCTCCCCGGTCCCCTCCCCCATATGTGAGGCCAGGCTGTTGCCGCCGACCCTTGGTGCCCCCTATACATCGTATTCCTCCCTGGACTCCCGGTCAGCACGGCCGGTTCAGTGCACGGAATGGGAGATTGGTTCATACGCGCCACAGGTCGGGCAGTCGTCCTGGGTTTGACTACCTGACAGGATAGTGCCGCAGCCGCCAGGGCAGTACCAGGTTCCGTTCGGCATGATGATGGCAGTAGCGATGGCTGGTATGCGGGTCTGGGTGGGGAATTAGTTTGTCTGCATTGGAGCAGAGAGACAGGGTCATACTGGTTGGTATTTGGTGATAATGGAGAGCTCTGGGCTGGCTTGCTGTTTGTTGCGGGAAAGTAGGTAGCGCGGAGAGGATACTGCCAGAAGTAGACCGGGGCAGGGCATCGAGTGAACTTTATGTTGTTACGTCTGTGTTTGCGAATCGTTGCCATTTCAACCATCGTGTCAATACGCCTACGCTTGAGTCATTTGTGTATTAGTTGGCCGCGTCGTATCGGATTAAGATTGAGGCCATCCACAGCGCCTTTGTCGTCGACGAGTGCCTCGTGCGTGGTGTGCTGGTCAGCTCAACATCGAGCCGATGTACTTGGACAAAGCAAGAGCAGCTGCTGGATGGAGTTGCAGGGCCCCCCTCTGTTGAGCTCGGCGAAACTGTCTTCGCCCAGCGCGCCGGGTTTGTTCCTGACAGTTACTTCACCGTTGCGGACACGACGCGCAACTGGCATGGTTCTACAACGTCGACACACCAAACACCGGACAGTGCTCCTCATGATGAACTCAATGTGCGCCTAATTCTCATGATATTCTGCGCCAAGCTCCCCATCCCTCCCACCTACATGTACAACCCCAGTCTACAGGACCAGCCGGACCCCCCACTAGTTATTGGTGGCACCATGCAGATAGTCGCGCGCCACCACGTCGAGAAGCCCGTTCGTCGCCAAGTTCGTCGCCACATGTGGGACGGCAGGAAGCAGGAAAACTGGTGACATTCGTGGTGGTGTGTATAGGAGGAGGAAGCAAGCCAAAGTGGGCTATATAGAAGGCAAAGGTAGGTAGTGGGGCAGCCCCACCTACCACACCCCCCTATAGACAGCCCACTGCCCGTTCTATCTCTAAACTATCTAGGCTAGTATATATAGGAATCCTTGGTGTTTTGCTACTATTTTCATCTATTATCCATTATCTATCGTCGATCATTAAACTGTTCCTCTATCTAGGTAGTGAACAAGCTTAGGTTAGCATTTGTCCCGCTTGTAAAAAGGATCTTCTTCGGGTCCCTGATAGCAACAAAGGCCTTCTTCGTAGTAGTTGACGGTGTCTTAACGCCCGACTGTTAATATAGCGGGCTAGTTGACGAGGACTGTTCCTTCTTCTTCTTTAGGAGTTCGTCCTTGCGGTACTAGTTATCTGGAGCTAGCTTAGGGTTGTAAATCCAGCAGTTACTAGCAGGGCTACCGCTAGGATGCCTGCTGTAGTCCTTGTAGTAGCGCTAGCTAGTCTTGATCATTAAGGTATAATCCTTATACTTAACGAGGGTTTCGTCGTTCTTCTTGTTCTTATTAGGTATAGTTACGAAGGCCGGGCCTTCGTTCTTACTAATAGCTTAAGCCTAGAGCTTAGCTATTAATTCGTTCTAGGTCAAGGTATTGATTCGAGTAACGTAGCGTATATAGAGGTTGTAGTAAGTTGAAGCTACGCCTTTTAGCGCAAGCTAGGTATAGGCTTTGTCGGTTATCTTAAAGTCTAAGGTCTTAAGGCGTTCCTTAAGATAGTTAATCTAGGTCTAGAAAGTAGGGAGGGAGTCGAAGTTATCGCGGCAAGTAGTAACGAGTTTGTAATGCATCTTAGCGAACGCGTTAATAGTACTTCTCTTAAAGTACTAGATAAGCTTATTAAAAGTCTTCTTTAGGTCGCCTTCTTTAGTAGACTATCTAAGGCTACGTAGGGTATTCTAAACGGTATACCTAGGAACAGTAGCTTAGATATAGTCGTTAACGTCTAGGCGGTCGTTCATCTAGGTATAGCAAGCAGTAGCTTCTTTAGGTTCTAGGATAGTACTAAGTAGGTACTTATTAAGGTTATAGCGAGAGAGCATTCGGGTTAGCTTCTCGCGCTAGGAATTAAGGTCTTCGGTCTTAGTAAGCTTCTTAATAAGGGGAATCTTCTAGGTAGAGGCTACTTGCTATTAGCTCTAGAGCAACGTAATTTGCTCTTGCTAAACCTTTAGTAACTTAGTCAAAGTCGCGAGGGTAGTAGTAAGATTAGCTATCTTGTAGCAATTCGGGTCGGTCAGATCAGGTCGGGTCAGGTGAAAATCGTAGAATCTAGGGCATTTAAATCAGTCGCCTAGAAGACTAGTAAGATTCGGGTCGGTTTAGGTGTGAAA